TCAACCTCAAAAAAATATTATATAATATTTATTATATCCCTAAAACTTTAACATGTATTTTTAATCCATCATATCATCAGATTAACTATTTTATAGAAAAATTCTAATCAAAATATTTGCTCTACTCTACAAAATAATCATATCATTAGAAAGCTAATATTATTTAGGAAATAACTACAAAATTAATTTTGTAACTAAATAATTTTTTAAATGCTAATCTAAATAGGAAAGTTGGAGCATACATGAAAAAAAAGAAGAAAATAAACCCCCTTGCACAGAAGGTGGAGCAACGTGAGAGGGAGAGAGAGAGATGGGAAAAAATAATATAAAAATAGGATTATAGGTCCCACAATTATATTATTAAAAAAATTATAGATTTAAATTTAATTATTCAAATCTTTGGGTCATTAGTTATAATTTTCACAAATTGCTCAATGCCCCCTTTTTGCCTCAAGTGATGCGTGTGCTTCTCTTTTATACATGAGGGGCACTTTTTCTTCCCAGATCTAACCGATGTGGGACATAAAAAAGCCTTGTCTCCCCCCTTTTTTTTTACTTACACACACAAAATTATTTATATATTCTAAATTTTAAAATTATATCTTAACTAAACATTTTTAGGTGATTTTAAATCTAAATTTTTAATTCATAATTAAATACCGAACCATAATATTATTTCTGAATATCCTCAAATTATAAAAATTTCTATTATTATCATTTTTTTATCCTCAATAAAACCTAAATTCTACATTTTTTTATTAAAAATCAAGATGTTACAACTCTCCCCTCCTTTTAGAAATTTTTTCCTCAAAATTTATGGTTGGTAAGCTTAGAAACTACATGCCTAAGTAAATAAATGTGGATAATCTTACCTCATATTGTCTTCGGTCTCCCAGGTAGCATCACTAGAGCTGCACCCTTCTAAATCACCTTTCATGAGTCGAATGGTTTTATTGCACAGATACTTTTCCTTAAAGTCCTCAATTTGATCCGGTTCGAATCTAAAGGTCAAATTCTCCCTCAATTCCACTTCTTCAGGTTCAATGACATGGGAGGGATTCAAGTTGTACTTCTTCAACTGCGATATGTGAAACACATTATGGATACCTGCAATCTGTGGAGGCAATGCAACTCTATATGCAGCAGGTCTAATTTGCTCTAAGATCTCATATGAGCCCATAAATCTAGGCGTCAACTTCTTTGCCTTAATGGATCTACTAATGCCTGTCACTAGAAAAACCCTCAAAAATACATGATCTCCTACTTCAAACTCTAACTATTGTCTCCTTTTATTGGCATAGCTCTTCTGTTGACTCTGAGCTGGTAGCAATTTTTTCTTAATCATAGCAATCTTCTGAGTGGTCTGCTCTACAATTTCTGGGCCAATAGTACTCCTCTCACTTTATTCTATCCAACACAAAGGCGATCGACACTTCCTTCCATACAAGGCCTCATAAGGCGCCATCCCAATGCTGGAATGATAGCTGTTGTTATAAGCAAATTCAGCTAATAGTAGATGATTATCCCAACTACCTGATAGTTTTATAGCACAAGCTCTCAACATGTCCTCTAAAGTCTGGATCATCCTCTTTGTTTTCATCTGTCTGGGGGTGGTATGCGGTGTTAAAACTCAGTCTAGTACCCATAGCCTTATGTAGTGCACCCCAAAAGTTTGAAGTGAACCTCAAATCACAATCTGACATAATTCTGGAGGGTATACCATGAAACCAACTATCTTCTTAATATATATCTCAGCAAATTTCTTTAATGTAGAGGTAAACCTAATTACCAAAAAGTGAGCCGATTTGGTGAGTCGGTCTACAATTACCCAAATAGCATCCTTACTCGAGGTGTTCTTGGCAGTCCAGTGATGAAATCCATAAAATATCATCCTATTTCTACTCTGGAATATCTAACGGTTGCAGCGTTCCAGTTGGCTTCTAATGTTCTATCTTTATCTTCTAACACGTCAAACATCTAGAAATAAATTCCATTACATCTCTCTTCATTCCTGGCCACCACAACCTCACTTTAAATCATGGTACATCTTAGTCATTTAATGATAAATTATATATTTGCTCCTATGAGCCTCCTCTAAAAAGATATTCCTCAATCTTGGATCATTAGGTACACAAACTCTTCCTTTATACCTCATCACTGTGTCATCAGAGATGGTAAAATTTGGAGCCTTGCCTACCACTACCTCTTTCCTTATATTCCTCAAGTAGTTATCACTCTACTGTGAAACTCTGAGATCTGCCTAGAATTTGCTCTCAAAGTCCACTACCTGAATTGTGGCCATCTGATGCTTAATCATATCCACCAGAACATCATGAAAACTGTTTCATAAATGATATTCACGAACCATCAAATGTGTAGCATGAATAGTCTTCCTACTTAAAGCATTAGCTACCACGTTAGCCTTACCTGGATGGTAATGCAATTCAAAGCCATAATCCTTCAGAAATTCCATCCATCATTGCTACCTTATATTAAGCTCCTTCTGATCAAATAAATACTTCAGGCTCTTATGGTCACTAAAGATTTGAAACTTAGATCCATACAAGTAGCGTCTCCATATCTTCAGAGCAAACACAACTGTGGCCAACTTTAAGTCATGTGTAGGGTAATTTTTCTCATGTGGCCTCAACTATCTGGAGGAATAGGCAACCACTCGGTTATCTTGCATCAAAATACATGCTAAACCTTTTAAAGAAGCATCAATGTACAAAGTGTATGGCACCACAGGGTCAAGAATGGTCAATACTAGAGTAGTGGTCAACCTCTTTTTCAACTCTTAGAAAGCAGCTTGACATTTATCAGTCTAAATAAATGGAGCATCCTTCTTAGTCAACTTAGTTAAGGGCATCACAATTTGTAAAAATCCTTAATAAAGTGACGATAATAACTTGCTAAACTTAGAAAGTTTTATATCTCAGCCATAGATTTAGGCTGTTCCTACTTTATTACTGCATCAATCTTGCTAGGATCCACTGTAACTTCGTCTCTAGACATAACATGGCCCAAAAACTTTACTTCTTGGAGAAATTCACACTTGCTTAATTTGGCATAAAGCTTATGTTCCCTCAAAACTTGCAAGACGGTCCTTAAATACTCGCCATGAGCCTCCTCATCCTTTGAATAAATAAGAATGTCATCAATAAACACTAGTACAAACTTATCTAAGTAGGGTCAAAAGATCCTATTCATGTAATCCATGAATACTGCAGGAGCATTTGTAAGTCTAAACGGTATCACCATGAATTCATAATGCCCATATCTAGTCCGAAATGCTATCTTAGGTATGTCCTCCGCTCTTACTCTCAATTGGTGGTACCCTGACCTCAAGTCAATCTTCAAAAAAACTAATGATCCCACAAGCTGATCTAGTAAATCATCGATTCTCAGAAGTAGATATTTGTTCTTGATGGTTACTTTAATCAACTGTCTATAATCAATGCACAATCAGAGGCTTCTATCCTTCTTCTTCACAAAAAGGACTAGAGATCCCCAAGGTGAAATACTTGGTCTGATGAAACCCTTCTCAAGTAGTTCTTCAATTTGCTTTTTTAGTTCTGCTAACTCTGAAGGGAATATCCGACAAGGAGCCTTAGAAATTGGCCCTGTACCAAGTACCAATTCAATTGAGAACTCCACCTCACGCTCCAGGGGTAAACTAAAGACTTCGTCTGGAAATACATTTGTAAATTCTTTGACAATAGGGATATTTTTCACGCCTTCATCAATCTCAGCTTGGATAGAAAAGAAAACTATGTAGGCCTGGCAACCCTGCGTCATATATCTATCAACTAAAACATGGTCTTGAGCCTCAATTAGAGTCACCTACAAAGCAGATAAAGACATACTCTTCTCTCTGCAATCCAGGATAGCACCATTTGCAGACATCAAATTCATTCCCATAATTACATCCATACCTCTCAGTGGTAGGATAATTAAATCCATAGTTGTTTTCATATTTTCAAACTCGACCGCTAGGTTAAGGTATGCCTTAGCGGTCCTCATATATTCTCCCGCGAGAGTAGACACATTCATATCAAAAGATAATATACAAACAGGAAAATTGAGGTTCTTAACACAAGTTTCATAAATAAAAGAGTGCGTAGCACTTGAATCAAACAGTGCAACAATATCGTGATAAAGGATTTTGATGTTACCTCTAATGGCATCTGGGGAGTTCATCGCGTCCTGAGTGAGGGTAAACACACGGCCAGATACAGTAGGATGCTGGGAGGGGTTCTTCATATTTGGGTCCTGATTGTCCTCATAAAATTTCGCAATGTGATCGAGTTTCCCACAAATGTAACAGATTGAAGACTGATAATCACTCATACAAGGATATTTTGAATTATGCCAAATTCCTTTTATATGAAAATCATTGTGTTTATTTAAATTTTATGTTTAAAGAGGCAAACAACTGTGCCCATTTACTTGCTAGTTTTGCTGAAAACCTCATTAGATCCTTCTACTCTCTTGATCAACCCCTACCTCAATATGAGGAGTTGTTGGGTGATGATAAGAGACGATCCATCATTATGTATTGAAACAACTTTTTTAGTTAATGTATCTTTCTTCATTACAAAAAAATAAATAAATAAATAAAATAATCCAAGATATTAGAGTTAGACTTGGTTAGATTATTTTTTTTATATTTAACTATTTTAAGCCCAATCCAAATGTAGCCTAAATTAAATAAGCTGGAATGTTGTGCTAAATGACATTGGCAGCCTTGGCTCTAATTTCTGTTCTGTTGTTTCTTCTTATTCTAATTCTTTTCTGTTTAATTGCAATCCAGAACAATATGAGATCACTTAATAGGTAGTGGTCTCTTTTCTCTTTTTTTTTTTTTTCTGTTTACTTTTTTACTTGTTATTTTTACTTTAGTATTTAATGAAATTATTGCTCTTTAAAAAAAGGTCGGTTGACTTAAATTAGCAGTTGCAACTAAAGTCAGAGGGATAAATTAATTAAATACAAAAGACATACACTGACAGTCATAGATCTCTCTCAAAAATATCACCGCTTGAAGCGTTCAGAGACTAAAGTGAGACCAGAGCAATGGACGACGATTCATCAAAATCAGAGTCTTCTGACTCCACGCTCAGCCTCGCCCTTCATCAATCTCAACCCTCGGATTCGGATCCACTTCACGATGCTCTCTTCTTCGTCCTCCCTTACCTTCATCTCTACGAGCTTCTTGCCATGTCTCTCGTCTGCAAGTCGCTCAACGATGCAGTAAACGACGACGTGTTGCCGTGGTTGAACCTCGTCGTTGAAAGGCCTCTCGGCTCCAAGCTCACCGATCAGATTCTCGTCAGAATCACTGCTAAGGCCAATGGCAGGCTCACCAGCCTAGCACTGTTGAACTGCAAGAATATCACTGACATTGGGCTTCAAAAAGTCGTTGAAGAAAATCCCTTCATAAACAAGGTTTGATTCTCAAAACCCATGTTTTATATTTTCGACTGTTGATCTGCTTGTAATTTTCTTACCAGATTGGATTGATTGATTGATCAGGAGGAAAAGGGAACAGGAATGGTTGTTTGGGCACACATAATTACAGGAAAATTTTGATTTTACTGAAATTCAAGGGCTTGAATTGCTTAATTAAAAATGCAACAACCAAATTACTTTATTGTGGAATAAGTTAGATCGGATAGAGTAAAATTCAGCCTTTTATTTCAGTGGGTTGACTCCAGTGGCTGAACAAAATAATTGCAAAGGGGCTTTTATCATAATTAGAAAGATTTAACTTCAATAAAAATTCAAGTGTTTAGATTTCTGGGATAAATAAATTAAAATTTTTGAAATTAAGTTACTTCAATAAAGAACTCAATACAAACGGGGGAAGGGGGGAAAAAAAAGAGGGCTGGATCTAAAGTCTTCTAACTAGATCATTTGGATATTTAAAATAATTTACCGGATATATTAGGAAAATAATGCTTTGCTTGGATCGGGAGAAAAATAAGGAGATTTGTTTACTATTTTTAAAAGTTTTCCCATTTGATATTCTTTCCTCTTAATTTTCATATCTATCCAAATGAAGGGTAAAGGTAAAGTTTGATTTGAAGAGATCCATCCATAGTTCGGATTCCCTTTCATAGTGGAAAAAACAGCAAGTCATTTTAAGCAAAACCCTTGTGGTCCAATGAGTGCTCTCTGTTTTAATTCACTCCAACTTCATCCAGAACGGTAATTTTGAGGTCCTAATTCCCTAACTAGTATATGGTCCAAGATATTGCAAGATTGGATTGCTGCCCCAATCCTGACTTCATTTAATTGCTTTGTAGCTTTATATACCGGGTTGCACTGGCATAACCCCAGAAGGAGTACTATCAGCTGTGAAGATTCTGTGCCAAGGAAGCCACAGCCTAAGCATCCTGCGGATAAATGGCATCTACAATCTAAAGAAGCAGCACATTGACACACTTGCCTCTTACCTCACAAAAAACCAGAATCAGTCATTAAAGGAGCCTCAAAAGCAGCACCCTTTCTACTATCATGAAAGGTTCAATTTCTCTGCCTTCAAGCCCAAAGAAAGCCACCAGATTATAGACTTGCAAACATGTCCCATATGCTTTGAGGTCAGAATGGTTTATGACTGCCCAAGAGGGAAATGTAAAAGGAAGGAATGTAGGGCATGCACTTTTTGCATCCCAAGGTGTGAGAACTGTGGAGGATGCATTAGATCACAAGTAGCAGGAGGTGCAGATTTCTTGTGTTCAGAGTGCTGGTTACAGTTTCCCAAGTGTAATGTTTGCGAGAAGCCATACTGCAAGCAACATAATAATTGGTGGTGCAACGATACAACCCCTGGATTGCTCTTGCAGCTTTATGATGCAAATTTTGTTGACTATTATCTGTACAGCGATATTGTGTTTTAGAGGGTTTAAATTTAAATACACTTTCAGTCCGGCCCTCTGACGTTGTAAATGTCTAAATTTAGTTCTTCTAGTTTTGATTTTGTCAATATTGTGTTTCAATTTGGAGAAAGTCGTTTCATTCATGTTCATGTCTGATTTGATAGATACAATGTGTTTTAATAGGATTTGTCTCCTATTATGCTAGTCTTGTAAAATGCCCTTGAGTAAGTAATAGAGATAGAAAGTAATGAAAATGATGAAATATGCTCTAAAGCTATGTTGATAAGACCGATGACCCTCTCAAAACCTGTTAGTTCATTGTTTTTTGTGTTGTTTTGCATGGTTTCTTCTATTGAGACCTATCTTATGTGCAAGAAATCATTGTGAGAATTTAGTTTGTGTTTTTGTGTCCCAAATTGCTAAAAGTTACTTTGAGGAATCTCCTAAGGCTCACAAGGAAGATAGGAAACAAAAATTTCAAGAGATAATGGTAAAGTTGATGAAATCTTAAGAGCTCTCAAGTGTGTGCATGAACGTCGTGCTATGGGAAAAACTTTGTCGAGACCTAGAGAGGATCATGATTCTTTTGAGGCACTAGAAAATAGTATCCCCATCAAAAAGCCTTCACTTATGTCAGTTACACAAAAAAAGGATACTAATGGTATTAGTGGTCCTGAAATTGGAAGCTTAGCTATGGAAAAAGTCAAGAAAGTAATTGAAACTGGTACAAATGTTATTAAAAAACAAGAGAAAGAGGCTGATTGAGAAGAAATATCCATGACATATGAATGCATGGGTCTTGAATTGAATCAAGGTTTGAAATTGGTGGCCAAATAGGAAATCATCTATGTATAAGAGGAAATCTATTTTTTGTATTATTTCACCCAATCATTTATGTATAAGAGGAAATCTTAACATTGACTTTATACGGAGATGTTATTAAAGTTTCCTCATTAGGCATTATAACTCCGTTTAAATAGACTAAGTTGTACTCGTAATAGGTGGACTAGATGAACGAATGAATTGGTTTGAGTCATGTGAAGCTCTCTCCCTCTCTCCCTTCAGTTCTGTCTCCCTCTCTCTTTCCCTCCCTCTCTCATTCTGCCATTTCTCCCTCTTTCTGTTCCTATATTTCTCTATTCTCTCCCTTTGTTTAGATTAGAGCAAGAGTGTGTGCGTGTGTGTTGCATCAGAAAATGGATAAAAAAAAAAGAAGAAACAGATCTTACACGTATTACCATTCCTTGTCACATGCTTTCACTTAAAAAAATATTAAAACTACAGACTACAGAGCACAGATTATCTTAACTGAATTCATGAGAATATGTCGCTTTGCCGCAGAACCCTGAAAGGATTATGGAAGAACATTGAGTTTTCCAGATTTTAGCTGCAATATAAGATCATTCGATTTGTGATCTGGTTGAATGAGAGAAACGGAACAATTACAGATCAAAGAATATAAATCACTGATATAAAAGCTAGCCAATATTCATGTCATCAATACTTGTATAAAATGTTAGTGGAAGCCGCACTATTTATATGGAGCCATAAATAGTACAGCTTCCAACTGGCTTGGTACTTTCATAAATGGGGTCAAATTTCTACCGTTTGTTTGTACATAATATCAAACGGAAGACATACATTACAAATGAAATATACATGTTGATGAAGCCTATCTCCCTTTAAATCCACAAGAAGAGGAAAACAAAATTGCGTTTTGCAGCAACCTTCATAAAGGCAGTTGAAGATCGTGCCTCCATAAATCTGATCCCAATGCTAATTGCAGAGAGCAAATGTGGCTAGTTTAGATGACAATTGCACTCCATAGTAAAATACCTATGATCACAGAGCTTGTGAAGGATTCACCATTGTAATAGTATTTAGAAAAGCAGCCTGATGTAGAATTGGAGGATGGTGCCAGTGATGTGCCGTTCGAGCTGGTTCTGTTTTTACCACCACTGTTGTTCACAAGTATGGAGAAAGAAAAGAAGGAATAAGAAAGAACAGTTTGGCTGATCATGGACTGTCATCTCACAAATGGAACATGGAAAAATTATGACGGGGACTTGAGCAATTATGAGGAACTTGACCTTAGAAAAGGGACTTGTAAGAAGGAAGAACCATGCCATTTAAATATTATAAAGATTACTAGCGTTATTCAATGTGGAATCCCATCAGATTGCAAAGATGTCAGACAATTTAGAACATAATAAGTAGCTGGCATCAATAGTAAACTTGAGATCTTACCTTCCAGGAAAGATACAAGAACCATGACCTGCATGATAATTTGATAAATCTCAGTTAAATTAAACATGCTAAAATCCTTGAATTTGAAGCCGCTAAAGTAAAAGTTTCTTTAGTTTAACAAAAGCGAATCTACAAAAAGGGCCAATAAAATAAAAAAACAAACCCAGGAAACTCGTGCATAAGGATTCTGAAATTTCCATACTAGTCAACAGATAATAGTCCTCCATGAGATGTGTCTTATCAGATGCAAACACTAATTTTTCTTCATTTCCTATAGTGATGGTATTTAACTGTTTTTTCACTAAATCTACACATCTTTTGCACTCATCTTCACAGTTATTTATTCAAGAATGTACAGAAGATGCCATACTCGGATCTGTGGTGGTGACAACGGCAACACCTTTGAAATCACAACTGCCAGGAGATTTGTCCATCGTCTGATAATATGCATTGAAAGCATATGTAGCATGTGAAATTACATTATTTGGTTCATAACATGGTTGGCCTTGCAGCAAAGCTGAACAATCCACTTTCCCGGGTCCACAAGCCCAATCAAGTCCAGCCTGTAGCATCTGAGCGTCTGCGTTACTCCTCGCAACACAAAAAGTCTGATTTGTTGTATCATTTGCCAACACAGTACCAGCGCCAGTTAAATGTAAGACATAAACTGGTTCTCCATTAGGATAAAAAAGTCCCCAGTTTTTTTCTGAGACTGGACCATCTCTCAAGTCTTCATTATAAAGCTCATAGATATAAGTACTAACTGCAACTCCAGGATGTTTAGGAGTCCCCGTCTTGTTAAGGACATGCCTGATCAAGTTGCTATTATAAGTGTTTGCATTATCAAGCGTTGCATCTGACACAGATGAGCCACCTTTGGAGGGCCATCCTGACTCAGTCACCAGAATAGGGATATTGGTGAAGTTCAAATATGACATTGCAAAATAAGCAGCATCAACAACAGCATCAAAGACATTTGTGTAATGCAGGAGAGTGTTGGCATCAACAGCTTCCTTATTCGGAGGTAGGGGACGAAATAATGCATAATCCAATGGGATTACACCATTAGCTTGAATGTAATCATAATATGGATATACGTTGAGCATGAGAAGTGAACCAGTTGATTGCAAAAATTTAAGCAAAGGAACCATGACTGGATCCCATGTGCGATTAAAAAATGCTTGGGAAGGTGGGAAGGAGTCAAGGATGATGGAAGAAGAGTGTGGAGTGGAGACTTTAATTTGCTTATCCAAATTAGCAGCGACTAGTGCAGAGTGAATGAATGTTAGGGCAGAGACTAGGACTGGACCTGCATTTGGGAGGGTAGTCAGTACTTCAGATCCAACAGCTATGGAGGTAATGTTGGTGGTGGGAACATGAGCTACGACATTGCGAGAAACCCAGTTTGCTGCAGTAGCATTGGACTGACCAATGGCAAGGATCTGTTCATTTGGAACAGACACAGTTACCCGGATTCCTGTTTTGGCAAGTGCAAGAAGCATGGCCTGGTCAGCATCATAGAGTCTGACGTGTTGGATATTCTGAGCCTTAAGCAGTGCCACAATCTGTGTTGGACTCGGCATGTCAGAAACATCTGTACCAATGTTGACTCCAATAAAAGCATCTACAGCAAAATGCGGTCACAAACGTAGGATTTTAAATAACTAAACCATCCAAGAGTGAGACAAAGTAAACATGCCACGTTGATAGCAAACTGTGCACATGAGATAAATACAAGAAATAAAGAGATAGAGACTTCTGCTGCCGCGGCTTGAATAAGAGGGTTTCACGCCCCCGCTGGCTGCTGCACACACTAAACAAAAATTCTGGAGCTTGGCAAAGCAGAATTTCATTCCAAAATTGAGCCAAAAAGGAAAATGAATGTTGTCCTGTTCTGCTAGTATTCGTGAAAAATAAATGTATGGCGTTAAAAAAAAAAACTAATTTGATATACAATCTCACAAAGATGCATGATCAAATTGTTAACATAGTTAGTGATATATCCCCTATGATTCATCAGCGAACCCTGAAGAATCATCACAATAGTTCATGTTTGATCATGAAACATGACAAAATCTTAAGGTCTTTTTTTTTTTTTTGTCATCCTGAGCGTGACTTACATGTGAGGAAGTAAAACAGGGATCACACTGAAATTAGACAACCATATTGACATATGATAGCTACTTGCTAGGTCACACATCAGAAGAACCTCTACTTTAACATATCCAACAATTTGATTAGCAAGCTGGCGATCAACAACATAAGATTAAGAGTTTGATTGCCTACACCACACAGGCCAGCAGAATTGCAGGGCTCACAATGAAGTACTAACATACTCATCAATGCAACTTAAAGTCTATAACACCCATTTTTTCTGTACTTGCTAATATTCCTTTTCCCTGTACGTAAAGAAATTGGATGTGAAACACATATCGCATTCAGAATATAATTACAGTATGACAAACGAATTAAGGAACCCAGGTAGATTTATCAACCAGAAACCTTCAGTTTCACAGAAGGGAAAGGAAAGACGAGTAACGAAGGATAAAAAGTAACTCGCCTTCATCAGCAGCAACACCAACTGCTATTAGGAAAAGAAGCAGCACCACAGCCATTAAAGTTCACCTCACTACACTACCAACCGCCACCAGTACTGTGCGAGAACAAGACCTCCACTAACAACTCGAAGAAATCCAGAAGCGAGGAGTGGGAGAGCAACGAAATTGGAGATAGAGCAAAAATCAGCAAAATGGAAAGGAGCTAGAAGGCTTCGAATTCCCGAGAGAAGGTATTGATCGAAGGATAAATAATAGAAAAGTTCGCTACTTTTGAGCGCCTTTGTTGGATTGTGGCAGGAACTGTTGTTTTCTGAGGTGGATGGCCAGTCTGAGTTGTAACGAAAAGACGGAGGTGCTAGAAACTAGAAAGAATGTCTTTCATGGTGGCCAAGGGACCATTTTGTATGCGATCAATTTTATTTTTTTTTAATATTTTTAAATTAGAGTCAGAAATGAGAATTCAGTTTGATAGATCATTCACTTTTATTTTATTTTTTTAAAAATTTTTTTTAGAGAAATCAAATTTTAAAACCCAACTTCCATGAGTCTTGAAAAAGTGGTTCAAACTCGAGAGATTCTTTTATGTCAATTTTATTTTTGCCTTTAAAAAATAAAATATTTTTAATTTTTTAATTAAATTTAAAATTTAGAATATATGTATATACTTCAATATAAGAATTTCTATTTTTTATTTTTATTTTTAAACACTATAATTTGAATTTAAAAAAATAAAATATTATAATTGAAAATTTTAAATTTTAAAAATTCAAAAATAATAATGAATAATAAAAATATGTTTACAAACTTGACTCTAAACTCTTTAAATAAAAGTCAAATTTTAAAAAATGACAAATTTTGATATGATCGAGTTTATGGGCTAGCCCCCTATCTTTATTCCAAGTGTCTTATTGATTTATTATGTTACTGTCAATGACATTGAATGATACACAATTTGTTTTATTGGGTGAACAATACAAAAAAATTTCATGAGTGTATAAAGTTTGAAACATTAAATAAATAGTTAACAATAAAAAATGAATCAATAATTACAAAGTACTCCGTGGTTTTTACATTTTTTTTATTTAGTAACCTTATTAAATGAAATTATCATTTGGTTTAATTGTTTATCTATTATGCCTATCTTTATCTAAATTATAATCATCAATCTTCTAAGAAGTTATACAAGTGAGATTATAAAAAAGTTATAACAAACTTAAGTCAGCATGAAGAGCACAGACTCATACCCTAAACAAACAATTAAAGGTTTGAATTTCAACTCTCATTAATGGTCATGGAGCACACCTAGTTGAAAATTTTTTTTTTTGCATCCATAACTGTAGGACATAGAAAGCAGTGGGTTGACTTATTTTTGTTTTGTCATTGTTTGGTTTAGGGTTTATTTTGGGCTTTGTATTCAGGCCTTTTATTTCTTTGTTTAGTCTTATTTTTTTATTTATTAGTTTGTTTTTGGTTATAGGGTTTTTTTTATTTATCTGTGGACTATAAAAATAGGTTCGTTGTATAGCCCAACTAATGCAATGTAGCATCAAACTATACTTTAAATATTTGCAAGTGTTATTTAGAATATCCAACCCACCAATTTTCCACATGGTAGCAAGGTGGGATCTACACATTGCCTCCTCAGTTCTCATAGGTGCTAAAAACAAGTTTCATTCATTTCCACCAAAAACCCTAATCTTGCCACTTCTTGATTACACATTGGGAAAACTTGTCTCCTTCATCATCCCCATCACATCTCAAAAGCTTTGATGTGTCTCTTCCCTTTTGCAAAGAATGCGATGGCCGACGATTGTGAGAAAAGATCAGGCAACGATGAGAAAAGATTCGATTCCTCTTCCGCTTCCACACTTGATGCCACCCATCCTTTGTTCATCCCCCCTTTCGATACTCAAATCACAACCCTCATTCCAAATTCACTCATCAATAGATCAATTACGGTTTGTGAAGTGGGATTATAAGAATGGTTTTATTGGCCAAGAATAAGTTCGGGCTAATTGATGGGAGTTGTGCTTGTGATAAACAACAAGCACATCTCCAACCACAATGGAACTGGTATAACACCATTGCCTTGACATGGCTAATCAACTGTGTCTTGAAAGAAATCGCCACTTTCATCACTTACTATGACACTGCACACAATGTATGGGCGGATTTGAAGGAAAGATACAATGTGACTGATAGTGCTCAATTCTTTAGCCTTTATAATTGTTAACTAATTTATCAATCTGCAAAAGATGTTATTTAAAGCCTTAGTTTCCTAAAAATATCCACATTTTTTTTATTTATGCCCTTTCAAAATAGTACCACGTACATATAAAATAATAAAATTTATCAAATACCCTATATTTTGGATGAATGAATGCTTATAAAAAGTTATTTATATTGTGATTTAAAAGGAGTATAAAAATATGATGAGAAATTAATTATATTTTTTTTAATATTATTCCTATTTAAACTCATCAACCATGAGAGAAGATATAATACAAATTTAAATTTTTTTTATTTAAATAAGAATAAAATTAGAAGTTTATTTTATTTTTTGATATAGTTAATAATTTAATTACTGCTTGTGAATTATAGTAAAATAGTGAGAGGTACATTATAATAGGAAGGTAAGGGAGTATATAATTAAAAAAAGGGAGCATATATTATTATTATGCTTGTGCACATTAGTTAATACTCCCTCCATTAAAAAATATAAGACATTTTTTAAAGAGTTTATGTTAAAAAATATAAAGCATTTTTAGTTTTTTGAGATATAATCATTACATTTTTTCAAAAGTGTCCCTATTGACAATGAGTTTACATTTATTATAGGTGTTTAATAGGAATAAATATGAAAAGATAAGGTTAGTTTGAAAATATATAACTACTTTATTGAAGTGAAATTAATTAAAAATACCTTATATTTTTAAACAGAGGGACTATCTCAAATCTCAATCTCAAATATCTCTATATCTTGTTAGAGATAGCCTAAAAAAGATAATACTCTATCCATCCCAAATTATTAAAAGAAAATTGAAAAAATTTTACATATTGATAAATTTTATGAAATATATTTAACAACTTTATTCTTTTAAAATAAAAATATAAACTTTTAAAAATACTCTGTATTTAATAACATTAAATCTGCACTAAGTATTAAATAGAGAGGGATGTGATAATATTAAAATAAATTTATTTAATAAAACCTTAATATTTTTAAATATCTTATTTTTTAAAAAATCAAATCTTTATCTTATAATTTAGAATGAGGTAATATCATCTTTCTTTCACTATGCTGGTTACGACTTGCCAATTGACACAAGTAATGATCATAAATAACCAACCACTTACTGGTAATAATTAAAATTAAAATCTTTTCTCGTTCATTGTACTCCTCTGGTCCTGGCTATTTATAGAGAATAAAGAAATTATTTTTAATTTTATTTATAGAACATTTTATTATTTTTATATTTATCTTTACTTTTTATTCTTATTAAATATTAAAAAAATTAATAAAAATAATTATTTTTGTACTTACAAGAGGTAGTAATAAAAATTTATTAAATTTTAATATGAAATTAATAAAGTTTAAATTTTTCTTACTTTCAATCAGTGGTGGCAGAACTACATGTATTGTGAGAGGGATCACTTCCTTCATCTTCTCATATCTTTATACGGATCTTAAAATATTTGGCCCCACCAAAAATATCAACCCCATCCCTCCTTCAGAAAAGACAAAAGAAGCCAATATATTTAGATGCAATGTATACACACTTTTGTAACAGTATCTCTTATTTTATTTATAAGCTAAAAAATTAATTTTTATTCTATTCATAAGTTATGTTATTAAATTTTTATCCTATTTTTTATTAAATTGAGAATTAATATTAATAAAATATAAATTGATTATGATATTAATAAATAGAGAAATGAAAGATAAGAAATTAAATATACACTCTATTTTAAAAATAAAATTATTAAAAATAATAATATATGATTTTTTTTATTGAATTGATGCAATTTTATTAAATAAAATATGAATGACATGGTGTATTGTATTCATGTAAAAATTTCTCAACTAGTTTAGCTATGTTTGGCATGTACTTTTAATGTTTGTATATTGGTCTATAATTTTATCAAATTTGAAGAGCACTTATATTTTTTTAGATCATCATAATAACATATGAAAATTAATTGAAAATATAAACACTCATTCACTCCTCACACACACACAATATATTCTGCCTAAAATTTTTCTTGAAAATAATATATTAGATATTTTGTATCTTGAAATATACTATTTATAATTATCATTTAATGATATTTTTAAGTTATAAATTATTTTTAAGAAATCAATTATAAAGAATATAATAAAATTAAATTTATACTATATACATGCGTACTTTTTTTTTCCCCGAAAAATTTGGCCCCCCTCAACGTCTAAAGCAAGTTCCACCCTTGCTTCCAACAAAAGCCTTATAAATTATGATGAAGAGAGTAGTGATTCCATAAAGTGCAAGGTTTTAGGTAACCAAGCTTCTTATCTGGCTCATGTAATCTCAAATAAAACCACCATGGATTGCTTGATCACTCCATGCTGGTTCACAAATTAAACAAACAAGAATATCTAACTCTGTGTGTGTGTGTGTTCAGGCCTAAAAGCTCAATATGTGGGTGCATATTATATATATATATATATATATATAGATATATATGTATGAACTTATAATAACTAAAGGGATAATTCTTTTGGAGGACCAAAAGGGAATCTGCACTTGGCACCGGTGCTCCTCACCTCATTGGGTGATCTTGGCCCTTTATTTTCTTTTATATCATTTCTGCCGTTGATTTCAAATTATTTTTAAAATATCTTTGAAATGATATTTATTAATATATATAAATTATAAGAAATTTGAATATTAACTCTGGACTGATTCTTATATTATTAGAAGATGAACACTATAGTACTCATCACTTCTTGATGAAATATGGACAATCCAAATTTAAACTTTTTATTTTTATTTTATAATTATTAAAATAAAAATATGTAAAAAAATATAGAAGTATTTAGTATACCTGATTATCACAAATCTGACTAGTACATATTTAATATGAATGAATTAATTTAATATTATTTTAATATTTTTTTATAAATTAATTATTCAGATATATTTTGGATAACACAGGTAAAATCTGAAAATTTTAATTTTATATGTAAAAATTTTATAATTTTTACACATCAAGCATTTAGATATATTTAAATAGTCTATACTTAATATTATAATTTTTTTATGATTGTTACATATTTTATTTGGATAAATATAATATAAAAATATTTTTAAAAATAATTT